ATCATATGGTGACCAAACACCTGGCTGAGCACCCTGTCCAAGCACCATGACCATATGGTGTGACCATATGGTGACCAAACACCTGGCTGAGCACCATGGCCAAGCACCATGACCACACACCTGGCCGAGCACCATGACCACACACCTGGCCGGGCACTGGGGACACCTGGCCGAGCCCACGCCCAGATGTCACCTCTAGCACCTCGTCCCACAGGGAACGGCTCCACCACGACGCGGCGCCTCTTTCCGTTTGCATAAACCCAACTGGCTCCCGGCACGCCTCGAGCTGTCGCTCCGGAAAAGTAAACTTCCTTCTCAACGACATTGCTTAATTTTTGCTTTTTTTTTTTTTGTTTGTTTTTTGTTTTTTTGTATTTTTTTATCTTGGTTCCTTAATTTGATATATACATTAGTAGCACCTCAGCGAGATGGAATCAGGCAGAAGCGTGATACAGTTTGTTAAAACACCATAGCACCGTTTGTATTACAAGATTTCATTTAATAAAAATATGCCTTATAGAGCCCACAAAGCGTACTCCAGTATTAAAAGGAAAAATCAGCAATTGAGGCACCTCAGGGATTCTGGTTTCCTTCTCCTTCCCATGCCTCATGCCGAGAGCATCGAGACGGAGGGGGACCCCAATTTCCTCGCCCCTTTCCTGCCCGAGGCGAAGCACCGCGGCCAGAAAAGCCAAAGCGGGACGGAGGAGCCGGTCGGGGCTCCCCGTGCCGAGCCCTCCCTGGGGTTCCCACCACGGGCGTTGTTCTAGCACCGATGTGGCCACGACCCGCTCCAAAAGCAGGTCCCCACATCCCGCTCGGTAAAAACATCCCTCCCCGCCGAGCTCCGCCACCCCCGCGGCTCCGGCACGGGCGGGCCGAGCGCGGCCGCCGGGACGGGTAAAGGGAAAAGATTTTGCTTGGAAACAGCCTCTCAGCAGCAAGGGGTAAAGAGCTGTGCATAGATTTCGAGTTTGTGTAGAAGTCAGAAGCGTGCGAATTTGTCATGACTGAGAGTTGAGGTAGGTTAGACGAAGTTGATGTAGTGTAAAAACGTTGAGACTGCAGCAGTTCTCGCTCCCCGACCCGCGGCGCCGGCAGCTCGCCGCTCTCCCGGGCCGAACCGGCCGCTCCCTGCACCGAAACACCTCTGAGGAAGCAGGACTTAGACAGGTTCCACGGACCATCGCCTTCTCCCAGCGCTCCTTCTCCTCCAAGGCACCCCCGTCGCGCCAGCCAGAGACCCGGGCGACGCCAGCGGGGCCGGCACCCGAACCCGGCCCCGGATCGTCCCCGCCCCGCGCTCCGAACCGCGGCGACACGGCGGGTCCCGGCATCGCCCGCCACCGGCGTCCCTAAAATCTGGCTCTTACAATCCTGATATGCTATTGGGTATTTCTAAGAAAAGCGGGAATAGCTCGTTGAGTTTCCTTGTCAAATATACGCGACTTTACAGATTACGGTTAAAAAATGAACCAAAAACAAAAACAAAACAAAACAAAAAAACACCCCAAAAAAATTCATTAATGATGAAGGACGGACAAAGCATGTTAAATATTCTGCCACTATTTACAGTTCTCCCACGATAATCTTGTTTAAAACATACTGCTTCAAGTTGGGGGGGAGTGGGGGGAGAGGAAAGAGGGGAGTTGTTTGCTTTTTTTAACTTTCGCTTTCTTTTTTTTTCTTTTTTTTTTTCCTTTTTTTTTTAAATCTAGGTGAAAGTGCTTTTAAAAAATTTTCTTTCCCTATTTACAGGTTTAAAATCAGACCACGTCAATGTTCAGGCTGCTTTACCGAGATCCTGCTGATCCGTGCCCGTGCGCGATGGGGAGGGGAAGGAGGGTGACGGTAAACACGAGGTGATCCCGGCACGGCGACGGCGTCGGCGCTGCCTCGCTGGCTCTCCAAAAGGCACCTCAAAGTGCAAAAGCAACGACCCCGCGGGGACGCCGGGCCCCGGCTCCGGCCGCGCTCCCGGTGAACCGCGGGGCGGCTCGGCCGCGCTCCGTCCGTCCCGGCGCCGGGCGAGACAACCGACCGAGAGCGTTGGAAAAGCACCACGCGGTTGTCGTCGTTGCTGGGTTGTTGGTTGGGTTGGGGGTTTTTGTTTCGTTTCTTTGAGGGAAGAACGGTGATCCGTAGGAAGGAGGGATGGCACCCGGGGAGAGAAAAGAGCACCGAGCCCCGGCGGGGAAGGCGGACCCGGCGGGCTTTTGGCCAGCCGAGTCTTGGGATTCGCCCTTCCCAGAGCCGACTGCACGGAGAAAGTCCCCCGGAGACGGAAAGCACCAGACTTTAGCAACAGTGATGTACAGAGAGCAACACTCGCTATTCACAGTTTGGGGTTGTGGTTTGTGTTCGTTTTCCTCTTCTTTGTGTGTGGTTTTTTTTTTTTTTTCTTTTTTTTCTTCTGTTTTTGTCCCGTCGGCTCCTACGGAGACGCTGCCGCTCGCCCGGAGGCCGCGGGCAAAGGAGCCCCAAGTCCGAGCCCGAGCGCGGCGCCCGGCAGCGGCGCTCCCCAGCCCGGACGTGTCCTGAGGTCTCCGGCGCCGGGAGAGGCGCCGGCTGCTCCGCGGCCCAGAGCCGATCCCGCCGGAGCCGAGACGCGCCGTCCCGGGACAGCCCGCTCGCTGGCGGGCTCCCGTCGCCGCGAGAAACGACTCCTCGAGCCGCAAAATTGGTATTTTTAGGTCCTCGGAATAAAAAGGATTGGATGTTCAGCGTGCCCGGCTGACGGTAAAGCACACGGTCCCGCCAGCCCCCATGCGGCGGAGCTGGAGGGAGTCGCCTCTTGCCTTTGAGCTGGTTTGGTGTTCAGGTTGGTTTGGATTCATGACTAGGGTGGTTTTCCAATGTTGGCTTCTCTTTCGAAGATCGGCTTCGTCGTTGTCATCAGAGTAAAAAACAAAATAAAATCAAATCCAACAAACAGGCCATTTTAAGCAGAATTAAAAACCTCTCCTTGCGGAAGGGCGCTAGGAAATTCATTCGAGGCTAGATTAAAAAACATGGAGATATAAATATGAGATTACCTAAAATCATCAAACACCATCATTCCTCTTGGGTTTTTTAACCAAGTTTTGCTTGGTTTGCCAACTCCTCGCCAGGCGCAGCTCTCCGACGGCGTGAGCCCGCGCCGGCTCCGCTGCTCCCAACTACGTGCTGGGCTCATTTCCTATGGGTTGGATTTTTTTTTTTTTGTGGTTGCTGTGTTTCACTTCGGTCTCGTCTATTTACTTCTGTTTTCTTCTCCCCCACGCCCGAGGAGAAAGCACCACGAAGCAACGCCGGGCCGCGGCGCTGCCGAGGGTTGAGGTAAGATGGGGCCATGGCGGTCGCCTCGGTGTCAGATCCAGCGGCTGTAGGGGCCCGTCACCTTGGTGTAGGCGTAGGAGGACACAGTGATGGCCGAGTTGGTGGGGATGGCCACCGCCTGCCGCGTGGGCACCGAGTCCCTCCTCTCCTTGCTGGGCGCCTCGGTCGCCAACGCGCCGCCCCACTTGCGCTTCTTGGCAAAGGCTTTGGCGTCCGGCGGCAGCCCCAGGCGCGCCGCCTCCTCCTGCCGGGCCCGAGCCCGCTCCGCCAGCTGCTTCACCTTGGCCTCCCACAGCGCCAGGCCGTGGTTGGGCTGGTTCAAGTTCTTGTGTTGGTAGAAGACGAGGGAGATGCGGGTGGGGTGGCAGCGGTTGGGTTTCTTCAGCGGGGTGGTGGCGTGGAGCTCGCGCCGGGCGCACTCGATGAGGATGGAGCCGTGGGCGGGCGCCACGGCCACGCCGCCGATGTTCTCGTCCAAGAAGTTGTGCTCGCTGTCCGACCACTCCTCTTCCTCTTCCTCCTCCTCTTCCTCCTCCTCTTCCTCTTCCTCCTTCACCGCCTTCTCCGGCAGATCCTCCTCCAGGCCAAAGGGGTCCCACGGCTTCTCCTGGCGGGGCCCTGCCGCCCCCTTCTCACCCACCGCTGCCTCCCAAGGCTTCTCCGGCAGCCCCGGGCTGGGCGCCGGCGTCCTCCGCTCCTCCGCCTTCACGGAGCCCCACGGCTCCTCGGGGAAGCCGGGGAGCCCTGGCAGAGCCGAGCTGAACCCCAGTGACCCCAGCAGGCTCGGGGCGCCCGCGCCGGCCAGCGCCGTCTCCCCCAGCTTGCAGGGGCTCCACGGTTTCGGCAGCAAGCCCGAGCCGTGCGCCGCCGCCGCCGGCTCTCCCGCCAGGACGTCGGGCCACTGCTTCTCCGGCGGCGGCAAGCGCACGGCGGCGTCGAAGGCGCTCGGCTTCTCCCGCCCGCCCGAGCCCGGCGCGCTCCACGAGCCCTCGGCCGTGCTAGTCCTCTCGGGGGAAGCCGTGCCCCGGGGCGCCTTGAAGGGGCTCCACCGCTGCTCCGGCGCCGTGCCGTGCGCGGGGACGGCCGGCAGCGTTAAGCCGGCGCCGGGAAGGGGCTCGATGGCGGGCGGGGGGTCCGGCGGCTCCTGCTTGATGGGCCGGCTGCCGAAACAGTTCTGTGCAAACGCCGGCGCCTCCTCCGAGCCCGAGCTAGTCCTGTGCGCCCCGGCCGCTGCCGCCGCCGCTTTCTGCTGGCTGGCGTAGCGGTTGGCTCGCTCGTAGGTGCGCTGGTGGTGGTTCTTGCTCCGCACGCTGTGCGGGACGGGCTCGGGGAAACTGCCGTTCCCGTAGGTGTGGTTGAGGTTCTCCTGCAGCGCCGAGACGTCGGGCTTCTTCTCGAAGCCGTTGCTGACCCAGCTGCTCCCGCTCCTCTCGGGCGCCCCGTAATTGAGAAACTGCGAGGGGAACACGTGGTTGCTGGAAAAGCCGTAATACCCGAAGGAGGGAAGCGCGAACTTGGAGTGAAACCCGTTCACGGAAGGCAGATTGGGCTGTGCATAGTAGGAATGGTAAGAGTAAACACTGTTCATGCTGTAGGGGTCGGAGGGCCGGCAGCTGCCCAGCACCGAGTAGCTCTCCACCACGGCGTTGCCGTTGTACTTGAAGGCGTTGTAATGGCTCTGGGGTTCCACCTTGATGGAGGGTTTCAGCGGCTGCGGGGGCATCCCGCCTTTCAACGCCATACCTGTGGGACAGCACACACAGCCCCCGTGACCTGCCGGCCGAGGACGCCACCGGAGGGGAGCCAGGAGCCCGGAACAGTCGGCCAGACTCAGAACTCCCACGCTGATGGGTTTGCCAGCCAACCGCAGAGGCTGGCATCGCTTGCCCTCACCTGGCGCGCCGGCATCGATTCGCACCTTCGTGAAAACCCAGCTGGCACGGAGATGCCACCCAGCACCACAGCACAGCGGCCCAAAAATGTCCCCGGCCACACCCCCAGCCCCTCACGCGCGCTCCGGGTGGCTCGGGGCGGCAGGACCTCACCTCTGCCCCCGTTACCTGCATTTGGCTGGAGCGTGGGGAGCTCGAGCGCTTCCTGCTTGATCTTCTCCGGCGTCATCAGCTTCTCTTTCTGCAGCTTCTTCCTCTCGGCAGCAGCTCTCCTGGCCTCCAGCTGCCGCTGCCGGCAGGACTTGGCGGGCTCGGGCAGCTTGCGGACCTCGCGGGGGAAGGACGTGAGCACCTGGATGGCCCCGCTGCCCACCTTGGCGTTTTGGTTCTCCTCGCTGCCGAACTCATCCGTGCTGGACATCTTGTAGAGGGGGAGGACGTGCAGCTGCTCATCTTCGGGAATTTTCCCCACCACACGATTGTCTTCCTTCGTCAGCGTGCAGACCTGGCCAGAGCAGGTGCTGTCAGCGGGATGCTGATGGATGTGTGGCCCGTGCTGGACGAGCCAAACTTCCCACTTCTTCACCACACTGAGGTGAAGCCACACCAGCATGGCATCCCCCCAGCCCGCTCTGGTCCCCAGCTGGTGGTTGGAAACCTCTCATGGGGTTTGGGCTGGATAAAAGTAGGTGCTGGTCCCTGTTAGAGCTGAGCAGCTCGTGTGAGGTGTGCCCACACCAAACACGTGGAGTCACCAGGGTGGGACAAGTGGGGATGGAGCCCCTCGAAAAGGAGCATCCCAAATTAGGGGGGAGCTCCTCGGAAAGCCCTGCCAGGTGCCTGCTTACCACGGTGCAGCCGTTGTAGAGGTTGTGCTGGTCCTTGTGAGCGTGAGCACAGAAGTCCATGCACGCCGTCACCCCCGAGAACGGCCTCCCCTCCTTCAAGCCCAGCCGGCAGTCGATGGCTACATCCTCGTTGGTGACCTGTGCAGGAAGGAGCTGGTCACCCAAAATCCCCCAAACAGCACCACCCCAAACCCATTCCAGCTGTGTGTGCCAAGGGCCGGGGTGACCAGGACCTGGTTTTGGTAGGCTTGCGGCGCCAGCCTCTTGTAAAGCGGAGCAACCTCGGTGGCCAAGTCCTGGAAGCTTCTCCGGAGCAGCTCTTCCTGTGGCAGGGAAAAGAGGAGGATGTTACCCAGTGGATTTGGCAGCAGGGATGGAACTGGGGACAGAGCCCACAGACAGCACACGGCAGCCAACCCTTCCCACGATATCCACCACGGCACAGAGCACGTGGCTTAAATTCCCCATGAGGATTTCGCCATTCAAGCTCCAGCCTCACTGTCCACTGCGTTTGACCAAAGAGCCTCTCGGATTTCCACATGCCCCCTTTCCTTTCCTCATCTCTAACCCATAAAAAACCCCACAAGGAATCCTGTTTTCAGCGTCCTGAAGGAAAGGAGCTCCAAGCCACCACCCCACCAGCGCTGCCCCCGCTCCACCCGCATCACCCACCTCTTTGGGATTGTCTCCCACCAGCCTGAACTTGCGGGGAGTTTTGCTGCGGGCGTATTTGCAGCCGTTGAAGTACATGCTCCAGGAGCAGCCGAAGGAGAAGGACGCACCGCAGGTGTTGGGGTCCTTGCCCTGGCACGCGCAGGTCCGGCTGCGGGGGGACACGGCGAGGGAGCGTCAGCCGCCGGTGCCGCGCGGTGACGGCAGCTCTGGGAACGGGAGGGAGCCCCGCATCCCATTCCCGCATCCCGTCCCCGCATCCTGTTCCTGTACCCTATTCCTGCATCCCATTCCCATTCCGCATTCCCATTCCCACATCCCGTTCCCATACCCCATTCCCATATCCCATTCCTGTACCCAGTTCCCACACCCCATTCCCACACCTAATTCTCACATCCCATTCCTGTTCCCATATCCCACACCCCATATCCCATTCCCACACCCCATTCCCACATTCCACTCCTGTTCCCGTATCCCATACCCCGTTCCCACACCCCATTCCCATTCCCATTCCCATACCCCATGTCCTTTTCCCATACACCGTACCCCATTCCCATACCCTGTTCCCACACCCCATTCCCATATCCTATTCCCACACCCCGTTCCCACACTCCACACCCCATTCCCATTCCCACACCCCATATCCCGTTCCCACACCCCATGTCCCGTTCCCGTTCCCCATTCCCACACCCCATTCCCATTCCCATTCCCACACCCCATTCCCATTCCCACACCCCATATCCCAATCCCGTACCCCGTTCCACACCCCATTCCCATTCCCACACCCCATGTCCCATTCTCATATCCCGTTCCCGTATCCCATTCCCACACCCCATATCCCATTCCCGTTCCCCGTTCCCACACCCCATGTCCCGTTCCCGTTCCCCGTTCCCACACCCCATTCCCATATCCCATTCCCATACCCCGTTCCCACACTCCACATCCCGTTCCCGTACCCCGTTCCACACCCCATTCCCATTCCCATATCCCATTCCCACACCCCATGTACCATTCCCGTACCCCATTCCACACCCCATTCCCATTCCCATTCCCACACCCCATGTCCCGTTCTCATATCCCATTCCCGTATCCCATTCCCACACCCCACATCCCATTCCCGTACCCCGTTCCACACCCCATTCCCATTCCCACACCCCATATCCCATATCCCATTCCCATACCCCGTTCCCACACTCCACACCCCATTCCCGTACCCCGTTCCACACCCCATTCCCATTCCCATATCCCATTCCCACACCCCATATCCCATTCCCGTACCCTGTTCCACACCCCATTCCCATTCCCACACCCCATATCCCATTCCCGTACCCCGTTCCACACCCCATTCCCATTCCCACACCCCATGTCCCGTTCTCATATCCTGTTCCCGTATCCCATTCCCACACCCCATGTCCCATTCCCGTACCCCATTCCACACCCCATTCCCATTCCCACACCCCATTCCCATACCCCGTTCCCACACTCCACACCCCATTCCCGTTCCCACACTCCACACCCCATTCCCATTCCCACACCCCATTCCCATTCCCGTACCCCGTTCCACACCCCATTCCCACACCCCATATCCCATTCCCGTACCCCGTTCCACACCCCATATCCCGTTCCCACACCCCATATCCCATATCCCGTTCCCGTTCCCGTTCCCGTTCCCAGCCGCCTCCCCGGCCGGGCGGTGCTGCCGGTGGCACTCACTCGTCGTTGAGGCCGCAGCGGCGGCTGGTGGGGTTGCCGTACTTGGTGAGGGTGTCGGTGAGCTCCTGGTAGAGCGTGTCCCCCAGCGTGCGGGGGATGCCCTCCCAGGCCAGGATGAGGATGATGATGACGGCGTTCTGGCAGTGGTGCCCGGCGCGGTGCCGCACCAGGCACAGCAGCTTCTCCTCCTGGTTGTGCCTGCGGATCACCTGGGGAGCGCAGGGGCCCGCTCAGACCTGCCGGGCTGGGGAATCCCACGGGGACCCCCTGGGATCCTCTGGATCCCCTGGGATGCCCTGGATCAAGAGGGATCTCCTGGATCCACAGGGATCCCCTGGGATGCCCTGAGCTGGCTGAGGAAGGAGCTGCTGCATGGGGGAGAGGCAAGAGGGTAAGGGGGCTACAGAAGAAGGGTTTGGGCTACAAGAGAAGGATTTGAACTACAAGAGAAGGGTTTGGGCTGCAGGAGAAGGATCTGGGCTGCAGGAGAAGGATCCTGGCTGCAGGAGAAAGGTTTGGGCTATGGGAGAAGGGTTTGGGCTATGGGAGAAGGATTTAAACTACAAGAGAAGGGTTTGGGCTGCAGGAGAAGGGTTTGGGCTATGGGAGAAGGGTTTGGGCTGCAGGAGAAGGGTTTGGGCTGCAGAACAATGATTTGGGTGCTGGACACGCTGTTCCCCAGGTGCCGAGCATGGGCAGCCCCAGGGAGTGAGGTTCCCTCAATTCCTCCTTGCCATAAATCCAGCATCCCTCCCCTGGCACAGGGAACTGCTGGTGGCCAGGCACGGGGACGAGGGGCACTCACCCACTTGGCGATGGGGCAGCCCCGGGAGCTCTTGCCCTCCTTGCCCGTGTAGATGACCTTCTCGATGCGGATGGCCTTGCCCTTCTCACCGTACCTGCCGGGGCACGGCCGTCAGCCCCACAGAGCCCCACAGAGCCCCCGTCGCCCTCGTGGGCCCCTCAGAGCCCCACAGAGCCCCCGTCGCCCTCGTGGGCCCCACAGAGCCCCACAGAGCCCCCATCACCCTCAGGAGCCCCACAGAGCCCCCGTCGCCCTCGTGGGCCCCACAGAGCCCCACAGA